CCTCTCAAAGATGATTTCATTTCAGTTTTGTTGTTGATTTTGGCCAGCTGCTATGAAAACATGAATGTTTCTTTAATGCAGTGGGCTGTCTCACTTTCTACGTAACATGCCAATCAGTCAAACCATGTAACATGACTGTCGTATAAGTCTCCATGCCGTTCTTGCTCGATATTAAAAAACGAGTTCAAAGCACTGAGCTGCAGTTTCTCAAGCGCTTTCCATGAGCGCGATTCAAGTCAGAGTGAAACAAGGACAAATATGGCTCTATGTATATGTCAAAATGTCCGTCCGTTGTAAACAATCGAATGCTAGTCAGCATATTAGATCTGTGCACTCCGTGACAGCATCCTACTGTATAAACCTGCCTCTGTCTGTCATCAGCTGCTCTTCACTTAATATTGTTCATAACTTTATGAATTAATTTATTTTTAATTTATATGGTGAAGTCTATGCAGTGATTTATTTGTACATTTGATTACTTTAATCAATTTCTGTATAGTAGGCTATTATAGGCTAAATTGTTTATTTTATTTGTCTTTTTTTTCTGTTGTATTTGCCCTATTGTTTGCAATTTTCTTCCTTTTTTGTATTACTGCCTTTTTTTTTTTTTTACTCACTGTTGTTTTGACAGTGAAACTGCTCTGAAAGAAAGGTTAAGGATTTGGGGAGCATTTTGGGGCCCCGACAAAGTTTTGCTTAGGGCCCACAGAATTCTAGGATCGGCACTGTATATATAAATATTAGGGGTGTAACGGTACACATATTCCGGTACACACATAAAATGCGATGCGATGTGATGCGATGGTATCTGTGTGTTGTTGTTGTCTCCGTGTACTGGAAGCTTGTGACACTATAACAAATTCCTTGTATGTGCAAACATACTTGGCAATAAAGCTCTTTCTGATTCTGATTCTGATTCGTACCGAAAATTTTCGGTATGGGTCTTTCGGTTCGGTATGCATGTGTACCGAACAAATCATTTAATTTTTTCACGAAATTCAGACAATACATGTCGTTTTGGCGCTCTTTGATGTGGTGCTACAGATCGCTGTATAAACGCCTCAGTTCTAACAGTAGCGCGGAGCGCGATCATCCCTTCATCTTTACTACTACACTGCTCAAAAACAATTAAAGGAACACTTTTTAATCAGAGTATAGCATCAAGTCAATTAAACTCCTGGGATATTGATCTGGTCAGTCAAGTAGCAGAGGGGGTTGTTAATCAGTTTCAGTTGCTTTGGTGTTAATGAAATTAAAAACGAGTGCACTAGATGGGCAACGGGACAACCCCTAAAACAGGAATGGTTTTACAGCTGGAGGCCACTGACATTTTTTCCCCCACTCATCTTTTCTGACTGTTTTTCACTAGTTTTGCATTTGGCTAGGGTCAGTGTCACTACTGGTAGCATGAGGCGATACCTGGACCCTACAGAGGTTGTAGAGGCAATCCAACTCCTCCAGGATTGCACATCCATTCGTGCCATTGCCAGAAGGTTTGCTGTGTCTCCCAGCACAGTCTCAAGAGCATGGAGGAGATCCCAGGAGGCAGGCAGTTACTCTAGGAGAGCTGGACAGGGCCGTAGAAGGTCTGCTACTTTGTGCAAGGAGGAACAGGATGAGCACTGCCAGAGCCCTACAGAATGACCTCCAGCAGGCCACTGGTGTGAATGTCTCTGACCAAACAAT